GGGGGGGGGCTGACAACAATGCAAACACTGATAAGCAGTTCTCAATAATCAGTTCTCAACAATTATTTGTTATTATTAAAGTTTAACATTATAAAATTAACAAAAATAATATAAAACATATATCCTGGCGAAATAGCCACATGGCAGCCCAAAACTGTATATTCCCTTCCTGTTCTCCCATGTTCCCTAGCTTGTTGTGCGTTCTTTCCAAAAATCAGGGCTTTTTTTAAAACACCACAGGACACAGGACAAATTGTTAAAAATTGGGACTGTCCCGCCAAAAGTAGGATGTCTGGTCACCTTACTCTAGAGGGGGGGCTACTTGTTTGTTCCAGACAGTTTGGCTCCTTCTGAGTTAATTGTCCTTGCCTAGAAGCAAGGGAGGGAGCCAGCCTCCTTCTGATACCTTGCCCAGGAGGGGAGTAGGGAGCTTGTATTAGCCTTTTCATTTCCAAGTGAAATTACATTAACCTCTTCATTCCCAAATGTAGTTACATTAACCTTTTCAGTACCTGAAAACCGTATATTCCCTTTCCATTCTCCAGCTGTTCCTTAGCTTATCATGCATTCTTTCCAAAAACTGGGACTTTTTTAAAATGCCACTGGATGCAGGACAAATTGTTAATAATCGGGACTGTCCCGCCAAAAGCAGGATGTCTGGTCACCTTAATATTAACCACTGTGATGTAAGCATTTCTAATTCTATATGAAATCAGCACATTGTACCCCATAAATGCAATAATGTATATATGATCTATGTTCGATTTAATAAAAAAATTAAAATTAAAAATAAAACAAATCTCAATAAATTTCCAAAGACTGAAATCTTATAGAACTTCTTCTCTGACCCCAAAGTAATTAAATTTAAAATCAATAACCACAAAATAGCTAGAAAATACCCAAAATATTAAATTAGGGAGCATAATTCTACATAGCCTACAATCCAAAAAGAAATCCCAAGGGTAATTAGAAAACACTTGAAACTATATAATGCAATAATTAAAATATGCCAAAATTATGGGATGCAGCTAATACAATGCTGAAAGAGAAATGTATATCTTTAAAGTTCATAGTAGAAAAGAAATATTTAAAAATTAATGGCTTAAATTTCTACTTTAAGAAGCTTAGATTAAAAGAGCAATTTAAATCCAAAGTAAAAAAAAATTAAATATTAAAAATCAATAAAATCACAAAATAGAAAAAATTAACAAAGCCAAAGTTGGTTCGCTGATAAAGTTAACAGAACTGACAAACTCCTAGTAAGACTGAATACTAGAACAGAATACCAGTAACAGAAATGAATAAGGGGATATCATCGCAGATCTCACAGGCAGTAAAAGGACAATATAATGGAATATTACAAATTAATTTCTGCCTAAAACTTGACAACAAAGAAGAAAAGAACAAATGGACAAATTCCTTAAAAAAAACATGCCTGACCAAAATTGACAAAATATAGAAACTGTGATTAGGCCAATTTTCTATTAAATAAACTATCCTTGTTTTTTCCTACAAAGAAAACTCTACATTCAGATAGCTAAACTGGTGAAATCTATAAAGTATCAAAAAAAAATCCAATCTTACACAAACTCTTCCAAATAACAGAAGAGGAGGAACACTGCACAGCTCATTTTATGGAATCAGCAAAATACTGAGACCAAGGCTAGTATGACCCTGAAATATTCCCATACACTTCATTCAGGTATTTCATCATCCTATGCCTTCGGCTTCTTTAGCAAAAGAGAAGGCTTTCTATGACTTTTTATTTTTTTATTTTTTTTATTGAATGGTAACTATGTACATTAATGCACTTCTGGGGTACAGTGTGGGGTTTTGACACACAATCCGAAACACTTCCATCAAACTGGTTAACATAGCCTTCATGTCATTTTCTTAGTTATTGTTTTAAAACGTTCACATTCTACTCTTAGAAAGATTCACTTGTACCCTTGTAAGATAAACCTCAGAAGTGTTCCCTCCAATAGCAAAGTATCACAAGAATGGAAGAAAAAGTATCCAATGTACACACCCCTATTGTGAAACTAATTTATACCTTTTATATGAAAGCTATAACCTAATAACAGTCTAAGAATACGGGGAGGTTGGAGGGGGGGAATGGGTGCAGGGAGGGGGATTGGAGGGATCTATGACTATTTCTTGCCAAACTTTCCTCTTGAACTGTGAGGGAAATCACCCTATTACTGACACTGATTTTATTGCTAGTTTTTTAATTTCTCAGATCTTTTTTCTCACATCAGGCATTCCCAGATAGAACTCTAAACTTTCTTGTGAAACACTCATGAGGTGCCACTGAACCTCCCACACAGGGATCTATTAAGGCTCCATCTGGCTCTCTGCAATCTTTGGGAGTTTTACTATAAGGCCCTAACATAAGACAAACTGTATCTAATCTCAGTTCTGATTAAATGATTTGCTTACATGCATGACCTGGAACAATGTATTTAATTTCTCAAAGTTCCTATTTACTCTTCTGTAAAATGGGAATAAAGGTGGCACTTGAAGCCATCCTCCTAACTAGCACAATATCTACCACAGTGTCTACCACTTACATCATAAACAGCTATGAGCATCATTACCCTTGGGTTTTACTTTGATTTCCAAATATATCCCAGTCAACCTTCATCCAAAGGGTCAGCAGCCATTAGATTGGAAATTTCCTCTCTATAAACATAACATGGCAGGTAGTCTACTTCCTGGGGGGAAATTGGCATTTTCATTTTTAAAAAACAGGTAAGATGACTGTATTCCCCTCTTGTTTCTCTTTTCAGGTATTAGACTCAGCACCTCTCTGCCACAATAGATCAATAAGCCTAGTATCATTAAGTTCTAGCTGTTGATCAGGAAAAATTAAGTACCAGAACGTTCTCAGGAAATAGAACCTGAATACTCAAGGTAAAGGCAACTACACACACCTCACCCAATATTTGGAGAAGGGCTGCTGTTAGCAACAACAGGGAAAGTTGAAGAAATCTGGGCTGGAATTCTACAGAAGTCATCAGCTCAGGATCAAAAGGCTGTGCTCAGAGCAAGATTCTAATGCCTCTACTGCATATTTTGTAGGCACTTTGATGCTTTGAGCTTACAGACGTCGGTAACCTTATCTGACATAAGAAATCACTCTGTTCCTAAATTCTGTGATTACTGAAATGAATCAATCACATTAATGTCTCAAGTAAAAAAAACATTATGTGAATCTTAATTATTGTTTCAGAAAAAAATGCAAAATTAATGATATAAAAATTCTTCAATCTGTACCTTTAACATTCACGCATGTTATTATATGCAAAGTACACCTCAACAATAAAAAAGAATTTATAAATATGAAAAATTTTTAATTTTGAATATCGCTCTTAATGAGGTATTTTATTCAAAGACACAAATTAATTTTTATTTCTCTCTAGTTTTCCTATTTTCCCTCCTTTGAAATCTAATATCCCTCTTATATGACATAAAGGACTTATGTTTCTCCTATAATCCAATCTGATTTTAAGAAATTCAAAACTTGGGCCACTGTGGCACAAGCTGATAGTCTCCTTCTTTGGTGTATGACTTACCACAGGTAGTGTGAGCCAGGTTGCCACAAGGCGGTTGTTGATCCAGCGATACCAAGATGGGTTTATAAACATCAGTGGTAAAAAGGGACCCAGCATGAAAATGCTTCCAAAAAAGCTTCCACAAAATAGAGTGAGTATAAAGTAAATCCCTTTCCATGACACCATGATTCTGAAAGATATATTAAAAAAAAAAAGTTGTATTTTGTTATTGCACATTTATCTGCTCAAATTCAATTTCAGAATGATGCGCATAATATTCTTTAATTATAGAGCCATGAAAAGGTTCTCATAAACAACGTAAGAACCCGAACTTCACAGATGTGACCCCGTTACACATTCTGTAGGCCTAACAAGTTACTAGTACGTTAAGAAATAATACTTTTGACAGAGAGAATATCTGACCTACAAACGAAATGTTGCCTTATTTAAAAAGCCTTTCTTTTTAAATCAGGTTATTAGTATTTAAAATAAAACTGAATATTTTCTTTTCCAGGATATTATCTAGAACAAAATTTTGAAAAATTCCAGAGGCTTTCTTGTTCTCCTCAGAAGCAGACATAACAGATGAAGAACTGCAGAGAACTCCCTAAGAGTGAGCACAGTAGTTCCCCTTTCTCCAAGGGGGGTACGCTCTAAGACCCTAGTAGATGCCTAAAACTTTGGGGAGTATCAAACCCTATGTATATACTATGCTTTTTTCTAATACGTATACATACATACCCATAATAAAGTTTAACTTATAAATTAGGTACAGTTAATAACAAGTTATTATTGATAAAGCATTAAGTAAAACAAGGGTTACTTGAACATAAACACTGCCCTATTGTGACAATCTGACTACCCGTAGCTACTAAGGAACTAGTAGCAGAGGTGGGGGGATACAGACAGCATGAATACTTAGAACAAAGAGAAAATTCACATCTCAGGCAGGACTGAGAGAGATGGTACAAGTTTTCTTCAAAACAGTGCACAATTTAAAACGTGTAAGTTATTTATGCATAAAATTTCATTTAATTATCTTCAGACCACAGTTAACTCCAAGTAACTGAAACCTCAGATAAGGGGTTATTACTGTATACCTTAAATCAATGGCAGTTAAACAGAGTACACTAATTTTTTTTTTTTAATCTATAAATGTTCAATCTTTACGTTAAAATGTCAAAATAACATCTGAGGCACCTGGTCTTAAACTGCCTCTTTATGAGCTGAAGGGTTAAGTAGAAGTCAGACTCCTCACTGGCTTTACTAACCCATTTGCCAAAGGATGTTGAGGGGTGGGGATGGTCTTCAAAACCAAAATAGTGATCTTTTCAAATAAAGCTGGAAACATGGTTCAAAATGAATATATCACACCTTTGATTTTACAACCTAAACCTTATCTTTTGTGTGTGGGGGGTCCCCCCCCTTAAGGAAAGCTTTTTCAGTTACAGACTGGGGAGAAGCTCTTTATGGTGTCTTTTTATGCAAAGAGGAGGGCTTGAGCCTCCAAGAAAAGTTGAGCATGTGTTGTGTGGGCAACCCCAGGCCAGCAGTGGGAATTGTTTGGCTCTCTCCTTCCCAGTGGTCTCTCCTCCACTGTTGCTCTCTCATTGTACTTCGTAGAAGTTCAGATCTACAATTTAGCAGAAAGTCAGTTCTTAGTATATATTTACTCTGTTTGTGCTTTGAAGGGTTTGGGTAAAGATTTCAAAATATACTTAGTCAAGTATTGGTGGAGATTTAAAAATATACTTAGTATGCAGATAAACTTGATTCTGTGGTTGGTAAGGGATTTGACCTGTTTTGTTGTCTGTCTGACATTTTTAAAATGCACCATGACATTTCAAATTTTATTTCTGTTTCCTCTTGTGTTCTTTTTAAATATTCACAGGTCTTGATCTCTGGAATATCTTTTTTAATATATAAATTTTAAGGCCATTTATTATTTTCAGAGTTTTAATGTTTCTAATGATTTTACCATCCCAAGGCGCTTTTCCCTAGCTCTGCATTTAATCTGTCTTTATTCTGTATCCTCTTCCAATTCTCAAGGGATTGATGGACAAGTGAGGTGAAGATTATGTTAAGTAGTTTGATGTAAGCATTCCAAATTGTATAGAAAGTCAGCACATCATGCCTCATAAGTGCATTAATGTACATAGTTGTAATTTAATAAAGAAAAAAGAAAGAAAGAAAAATAATTTCCCCACTGGGGGGGGAAAGAATTAGCAAACTACATGCTTATTTTGAATAGCTAAAATTTTAAAAATATAAAATCAAGCAATTAACAATACCAAGTGCTGGGAAGGATGTGGTACAACCAGAACTCACATACTTTGCTAGTGAGAATGAAAAATGGTGTGGCCACTATGAAAAACAGTTTGGCAGTTTCTTAAAATGTTAAATGTACACTGACTATATAACCCAGAACTTTCACGAGTGCATACCCAGAACATAAGGAAACTTATGTTCACACAAAAACCTGTACATATTTATAGCAACACTCACTATTGCTAAAAGCTGAAACCCAAATGTCAATCGGGGTGAATGTAGAAACAAACTATAGCACATCCACCCATTGGCAATACTACTCAGCAATAAGGACAGACTATTGATTTGTGCAACGTCTTCAGTCAATCTCAAACACATTGTGCTGAGTGAAAGAAGTCAGACTCAAGATAGGACACACTTTAATTGGACAATAAAATAAAGATGTTACAATTCTAAACCTCATTGCCAAATACCACTATGGTCATCAGATGGCCAAGGAGGATACTCCAAAGGTGACTGTACAGATATTCAGCAAAGAGTGATGTACTTTTTCTAGGATGGGTTCACAAACTTAACTGTCAAGACCTCATACAATGACAGCTCTGAAGGCCATTCAGAAAAAGAGCTCCAAAATTGCTTTGAAAGGCAGACTAGACTCTGACACGGTACGTAGCTTCTCAAGGGGAGTATGTTGAAGGTGACTGTATGATATTCAGCAATGAGGTATGAAGTACTTCTTCTAGGATGAGTTTGAGAACTCAATTGTCTGTCCTCATAGAGCACAGCAAACTTGGGGAAGGCAAGGAATGGGAGTTGCCAGCTTCTGCTGGAAGAAAGCCTGATAAGATGACTGATAAACCAAATATCTAATCTTATAAAATCTTTAAAGTAAATAATAAAGGTCACATCATTGAAACATAATTACAAATACTGCAATTTAATATCATTGTTGTACATTCTTTGTATACTACTAATAGCTTTCTTTTAAAAAGGCCATTTGGAGAAGAAATAAGCATAGTTTTAAAATGACACAATAGATTATACTGCCAAATACAGACATACAAAAATAAATTGTAGATAATCCTGAAAAACTAAGCATACTTTAAGTGTATCCCAACAACTTTTTCCTAAACAACCAGTTTTCCTTCAGTAAATTAATATAATCTCCACTTATCCCACTAACTTCCTAGCTCATTATCTGATTCTAATTTTGTTTGTTTGTCCCTGGTATCTAATCATCTGTGGATCAAACAGTTCCAATATGAAACAAAAGACAAAACAGAGCACATGAACCAAGACCAAGCCCACCTTGACTTCTTGTTCAGTTGCATATATTATTCCTGGAGAACGACAGTGTGGCAGGACACTCCTTGACAAGGATTAAGGGAATCCTTTAGGGATACTTATGATAGTTACTTGCTAAAGAAGAAAACGTATTTCACTTCACAGAATCCTCTTATTTTATTCATATAACAAGTGTTATTAACTAGCATTGCTCTTGCAGTCAGGTAGAGAAGCTAAGTGTGAAAATAAATTACTACAATTCACTGATACATGCTATAGTAATGGTATAAAGAGGTTTGCAATAGGTGTTAAGGGTAGATCAAAGCAGACAAGATGAACTCTGCTAAGAAGAATTAAAGAAGGCATTAGATTTCTGGAAGGTGAATGGTTATGGGGAAGGGAGAGAATATACCAAGCAATAACAAGCAGAGTCACAGAAATTTGAAACTGCCTGGCTTAACAGGAGCTGTAACTCATCAGGTATCACTGAGGTATCGGATACACACTAGGGGGCTGCAAGAAATGACTAAAGCACAGGTCCTAGGGACAAAGTACACACACTCAACCCAGCACAGCCACAACTACTAACTTTACCGTGTCACCAGGGGAGGAAAAAAAACCTAAAGCGTAAGACTCTTTTTTTAGAGTAAATGTTTAAAGCAAAAACGTCTACATATGCACGGACTCAATACAGACTGGTTTTGTGAAGAGCCTTCTCTAGACTTCAAAACAGACAGGGCATGGAACTGGGCAAAATCCCAGAACTGACAGATGCTGGTATCAGAGCCAGCAGAGACTAATGCAACTTTTAACACTCAACAGCCAGAGATAATCACTAAGACATTACTTAACCTGGCCACCTCATTGTAAAATGAGGAAGATAGAAAAATTCTCTCTAAGGCCTCTATTAACACAGAAATCTAAATATAGGCTACCTTTTGACCACTTAATATTTGTCAGGCACTTTATAGAGGATATTAGTATTTACATATTTGACACACAGAAATTCAGCTATTCATGAGCAACCCAAAGATTGCTCATGGAAGCAATCTCTAATTTTGTTGAAACTCAAAAGTTCAATTGTGAACACTACAAGGTTGATGTCAAAAAACAAATCATTTAGGTAGCAATGACTCTGGCCAACTGTCCAATATGCTAAAGGGCCTTCAAATACACTTCCTGGGGAGGGTAATATGCTATAGTATATTTGTAAATTTGAGGTTTCAAAAGGACCTTGTTATATCCCTTGATAATATCAAGTGTGTCCTAAAATAGGCACTTTACATTCTCATCTAATCCAAACAAAAGCCCCCAAAGTAAGGTATTGATTATATCAATACAATTTATAGGTGAAGAAATGAGGGATTTGAATCTCTCAACAAGTACTTGGCACTGTTTATAATGAAAGAACTGTGAAAAAGAACCTATAACTAAGGACACTCCCAGAAAATTCAATGTTCAGAACTGCAGATAGTGAAAAAATAAAGGCTAAAAAAGTAAATAATGAGTAATAAAAGTACATAAAGAATTAAGTCAAATGTTTAAGCAACTGAAAGTTTAAGCAACTGTTAAAACTAGGAGTCAATAAATTACCCACAAAACCAGGCAACCACATTACATTGATATTAGTCTTCTTTC